TAAATTCAGTCTCAAATGTAGTAATTGAAGAAACACTTGGGTTGTACAACTTTGTCAGAACATGTTTTTTAAAAATGTTTAAACCAGAGGCAACACCCTGACATAATGAGTAAGTTGATAAAAGAGTAATAATATTCGATAAAGTTTTTAACTGATTTGTTATAATTAGAATATATCTCATGCTTATCTGGTAAGTTCCAAGCTAAAGATCGCATTGTAAATAATAGGCAAGGTTGAATATATACTTTTTATTGGGGTTGTAGGTGAATATTATCTAATTTGAAAACTTTGACTAAATCTTTTGATATAACAAGTTCCCATGATTCCAACATAAGGGTGCTGACACAATCTACAAGTTCTGAAAACGATTTATAAAAAGAATGTACATCATTTTGAACTTTGTCAATTTCACAGCAATCTTTTTTCAACTCAATACTTAATGTTGGAAGTTTTGATATTGTTAAGGAACTTAAAAAAAGGAAAAAGGAAAATCTACTTTTAAATGAAAAATTAAAATTTAAAAAATAGATCTTTTTAAAATTTTTACCTAGATGTTTGAACACTCCTTTTTGGTAAATTTTTTGAAGGTAAAGATCCTGGTAAAAGTCTTGCTCTAGCTGAATCTATAAAAAAATGTTATTTTTATATTTTTAAAACAGTGATATAATAATAAAATCATTTGAAATAATATTTATAAATGCTATCAGAAATATAAACATATATATATATATATATATATATATTATATATATATATATATATATATATATATATATATATATATATATATATATATATATATATATATATATACAATTGAATATGTGAACACATAACTTACTTCTATTAACTTCGTGACCTTCAAAATGCTTTTCGCATACATGTAAAGATTCACTGGCAATTTATTTTCTTAATGCTGAATCAATCAAACGATCTTTTACGATCTCAATCAATTTTCTTCTCCATTCAACATCATAGTCATCCTGACCTTTAGGAAGACTGAATATAGCTATACCATGTGAATAACGAGAAGTAGTACAACCATATATTGAACAATTTGCTCCAGGCATTGTACTTATAGTTAAACTATAAAAAATTGTTTGTTTTGCACCTTAAAGTAGGCTGGGTACAAGAACCTAACATCAACGCAAAAACTATTGTTCCCAGGCCGTGTTTCCAGACTATTTATTCTTATGACTATGGTATAAAGTTTAAATAAGAAGAACATTATGCTTCTTGTTCAACAATTCCAGGAACAAAAACCACCATTGTTTTATACCACAATCATTTTCTACTTTACAGATGAGACAGGTGTCATTTAACAGTATGTATATTTTTTCTACACCAATCATACATTTTCTCAGGTGAGTTGATAGGATCTGTAAGTGATTGTAAACTGGCCTTACCTACAAGTCTTTTGACAGAGCCCCAAACACCATGGCAAACTCTTTCCATGTGATGTAACAAAAAAATACCATTCTGCAGATACTTTATGATCTAGTTCATTGTGACATAAGTTAGACATGTTTTTATATTGTGAACCTGAACCATCGCTAAAATAAATGCCATGGTTAAAGTAAGGCAACAACTCTTACTTCATAAATGAAACAATCAACTGAGTTTGTATTGTGTTTGCAAATGATCTGAAATGATACTAATACTTTTACATTTTATGTAAAATATGATTACATGGTAATGGTATATTTAGATGCTGCAAATATGCTGCTTAATTTTTGGCTATTAATGGTGCTCTCTTAATTGGTCTATTTGTTGACAAGCTTTTTCAATAAAATTATACACAGGAAAAGTTACTGGAACTATATCATGTTTTTTGTTGGCTTTTTGCCACTAAATAAAGGTGATATCTTCCCTGCTGTGTCTATCGAACAAAGCATAAGATACTCTTTTAGTGTGTTGGTATCTGAGCATTTATTGCAACAGTGCAGCATGCAGTCTCGATTTGTTAAGTCACATAGAACTAATGTCAAGAGGTCTTTATAGTCTGAAATATCTGGTATTTGTAATGCTAAATGTTTTGCATTTTGGTGGTACTCACAAACACATACTTAATGGAGACCTGAAGCACCTCCAATAAGAATACACCACTTTGGTCTAAGTTTTTTAGCAAAAATTATTTAAAAGATTCAATGTTTATAATGATTGTTTATTACATAACTAGCAGTAAGCAACCCGTAATACGGTTTGTTAGTAAAAAAAAACCCGCGTATAGAAAAGCCTAGAAACTACTTTAAAATAGAAGTAAAGTCGACTATTAACTACTACTATTAAATTAGCGTATTAATATTATCAGATAATATTCTTTATTACATAATCAACTTGTGCATTATGTTGGCAAGTTAAATAACTCTTAAAACTTGGTATAAGTTGTAATCTAAATTTGAAAATGATAATCAAATAAGCCGAATTAATGGGGAGGGGCGGAATCGTTAATGTGTAGAAAAAATATTAGTTAAAAAATGTATAGTTATGATATTAAATTTTAAGTAAGTTAGACTAAAAATCTTTCATTTCAATTTTACCTAAAAGGCTACTAATAAGTTTTATATGAAAATATAAAAAACTAAGCTTCAGTTCTTACATGATCATGTTTAGTGGTGTGTTTGGGAATAAAGACACTTCGTACATTAGACATAAAAGCAGACACACCATTTAAGGAGAAGTCTTCAATTACAATTTTTTTCTAAGTTCTGGAAAAAAATGTGAATTTTAGAAGTAAATGGAAAGGGGAGGGGGAGGGGCAGGAAAAAGCTAGGGCTATATAAAAACTTAGTTTAATTCAGGCCTAATTAAAAACTTATTTCTAGTACTGATTTTGAAATACTTTTAAATTCATACGTACTTTGTATTACAATATATAATACAAACTAAAGTATAACAATAACTTTATTTTTATTGTTTTAATGCATTTTGGGTAATTTTCATTGTTCTGATTTTGTAACTTCCCCATGACCCACTATTTTTTTCCTGAAATCACTGTAATAAAGTCTATTAAATTAGAAGAAAAAAAAAATTATTAAAACCAGTGTTGATCCTAGGGTGCTTTGAAATGGAGGCACATTTTCCTAAGTTTGAGCCCCAGCCATTTTTAGAAGTCTATAATTTTTAACTGAATCGAGTCTTATCAGTAAATTTCAAAAAATTTAGAAGCCTACCATATATAGAAACTAAAAAAATATTTCTTTTCACTCCTTAAACTGCAGCTTTTTTACATTGACTTATCAAAAATCAACATTTTACACTTGCACTGACTCATCAAAAATCAACTTTTTATACTTGCAAACAATTTTTTTGGTTTTTTAGGTAGCCTAAAATGGGACATTCAAGAATTTAATGTCAAAGTTTTATTAAAGTAAGTGTAGAGTTGTATACAATAAAAAAAACTAGAAGTTTTTCTGAAATTTTGTTTTTAAAATATAGAGCTTTAAAGTATGAACAAAATATGTTTTTTCTACTGAAGTTTTTATGTGACAAAGATGTTTTGTTCAGAAGTGGTAAAAAGTGTTACAACTGTGACGCTATGTAAAGTTAATTTTTGAAAAAAGTTGACTTTTGCTGTTTCTTTTAAATACTAAATTTTAAATGCTGTTTCTTTTAAATGCTAAATTATAAGACAGTATTTTAAATTTCTGGAAAGTTTCAAGTCATTTTCCTTTTATGATTGTTTTTAATAGCTTAAAGAGTGTCAAATGTTATGACCGCCACTCTTGCTGAATTATATATACATGTATTTATACAATTTCCATTTTTTAAAACCTATTGTTTTCTCACTCTTTAGCTTTCTTCTTTGCTTTCTATAAACATAAATGTTGGCTTGCAGTCCTGTTGCATGTGAACATATTACATCAAAAAACACATAATCATACAGCTCTTGGTACCATTTGAATAATTATATATTTGAACAATTGATATATGACCTTATTAAACTTTGCATTGATTTTTTAATTTTTCTTTTTACATAATTTGCAATAAATGTAAATAAGCATAGGTGGAATTTATATTTTGTGAACAGGATTGATAAAGTTATCAAACAATAAGGTACCATTCAATATTATGTTTATGCTAAAGTTATTAGGATCTCTATGTCGAAAAGAGTGGTTTGAATGAATAGTTATTATCAATAGTAGTTAAAGATTATTTGATAAATTATTAAAATGGTATGGATAAAAGACAGGTTTGCAAAACTAATAAATTCCACATTTTTTTAAGTTAATTTTAAAGTCAAATTTTTTTTCTTTAAAAATTGAAATATAAAAGTAAGCATTTCTTTTTTTTTTTTTTTTTTTTTAAGTTTTTTAAAATTTTTATTTTATGAATACCTTTTAATTCTTTTTATTTATTTTTGTATTTATCTGTTATATCTTGAGAGTTATGGATAGTTTTATCATCGAATAATAAAGGCGTGTTTAATGTTAAAATATTTTTGCAAATTAAAAAAAAATATTGTTTTTTAGATCACAAATAATTCTTCGTTGGGTCATTACATGAGTTAAATTATTAGTTTATTAATTGAGTTTGAACAAAAATACTGTTTTGCAAATATTTGACCTCTAAACTTTATTTTTCAATAGTGTAATCTATAATGGTCCTCAGTTAGTAAGCTAAATATAAGGATGATTAATGGGTAACCATGAGTAAGAAATGGGTAAGTATCACTAGGTGTGGATATAAAAAAAAAATTAGGGTTGTTCAAAATTTTGCCTGTGTATTGTTTTGAAAAGACAAATACAATGTTTTTAACACTATTAAATTATATACAGACCTAGTTGATTGGAGTAAGATGGCAGGCAGAAGATACAAAATACTTTTTTAGTTTCCATTATTTAAAAACTAAATGTGTTGATATATGGTATAAGATATTTTTTTAGTAGATAAATATTACATAGGAATATGTCTTTTTGAAACTATAAACTTTATTAACATAGTTAAAAAATTATGAAAATTATTTTTAAAAAATCTTTTATTATATTTTGTTTTTTTAGTTACTTGTATTTTCTGACTATATTCACAGCCATTGGAGGTTTTTTATTTGGATATGATACTGGCGTTATATCTGGAGCAATGATTCCTTTAAAAAAACAATTTGATTTGACTAACTTAATGCAAGAAGCCATTGTAAGTATGGCTCTTGTAGGTGCTATAATTGGTTCTCTTGTATCAGGGATATTAAACAACTATTATGGGCGTAGACCTTCAATGATTACTGGTGGATTTCTTTTCACTATAGGTTCAGTTTGTATGGGAGTAGCAAATGGCCCTGTTTTAATATTAGTAGGACGACTGTTTGTTGGATTCGGAATAGGTAAGTTCAAATAAATGTGATTGAGAAATATTGAGAATCAGCAATTAGTGAATTTGCTGTTAAATATAATTTTAATTTGCTTTAATTTGCTTTTGCTAATTATGCTGGTAAAAAATAAGTCAGTCTAAAAGTTATTTTATTATAAAATAGGATTGGTAAGCATGGCTGTTCCACTTTATATTGCTGAAGCAGCTCCTTCTAATATGAGAGGAAAACTGGTTACAATCAATGTGTTATTTATAACATTTGGTCAATTTTTTGCTTCATTACTTAATGGGGCTTTCAGTCATATCAAAAAAGACAGTTGGAGGTAGTGTATAAATTTATACATTCTAAATATATATATTTTTATATATTTATATTTAATTTTATAACTAGTAATAGGATTCTATTACATTTATAACATTTCAAATCTTTTTATTACATTAGATTTTTTTTTATTTAAGATGTAAAAAAAAACAAAATAACCTCCTTTCAGCTCATGCACTATTGTATTAAATTGTTTGCTAATTAATAACATAATTTAAAATTTTAAAATATAATGCAAGTTTTCTTTTTTTTAAATTATGCTATATATTTTCAAAACAATTTATTAAAAAGTGTATGACTAAACAACCAGGCTGAGTCATTCCGTCAGGGTTAGGGTTTTTCCATATAAATTCACCTGTTTTTTAAAACTTTATCATCCTGATAGTCTATATATATATAAATATTTAATGATAGTGTTCAGATTTTTTTAAATAGAAATAATTTATTACACTGTAAAAAATTTGTCTTACCATCATTTACATATAATATAAAAGATGATGTCTATAATTTTCTAGCTGATCATATTACTTGGGTAGATTTTTATCTTCTACATTCAAAAAATGAATGACTTCAAGGTTATTTTAAAAAAGCTTCAAAAATTAAATATCAAAGTCTTTACCCTGGTAATGAAAAGCAAAATGTTTCTCTTGCGCTGTCGATTTTCATTGAAACAACATTTGCGAGATTTAAAAATTATTTTTCAGAACAAAATGACAATTCTGGTTTTTTAAGCATTTTTCAAAACCTAAATACCTTGTGACTAGCAGTGCCAATTTTTTGTTACATTAGTGGACTTAGGTTGACCACTTATTGTAAAAATCAAAACTATGCATTAAAAATTAGTTTATTAATGCAATAGTCTAGTATAAAAAAAAATTTAAATCTGGTAAATTACATTTACTTGACATTCATAGACAGTAGTGTTAATAATTGAAATAAGTTTTGAAACTCTTTTCTGCTGAGGTTTCTATATATAGGCCTAAAAAAGAAATTAAAGACCTATACTCTATATTATGGCATGGTTGTAGACTTTTCAGTTTTCCATTTAATGAATTAAATCAACTTATTTGATTTTTGAATATTTGATTTTATGATTATTGATTATTTTATGCAGTAAAAAGACGACAAAAAAATGAGAAAAGATGAGGAAAAATCAGAGTGCGTCTTTATTGAAATTTATTAATATTGGATTATTATTATTATTGGAATAATATTATTATTGGAATAATATATTATTATTACTTTATTGGAATATTATTATTATTATTGGAATAATATTATTATTGGAATAATATATTATTATTACTTTATTGGAATATTATTATTATTATTTCTTCTTAAAACTGAAAGTTTTAAGAAGAGATTTTCCTATACAGAAAAAAGATTTTCCTATACACAAAAAATATTATTATTGGAATATTTCTTATTATTATTGGAATATTTCTTCTTAAAACTGTAAGTTTTAAGAAGAGATTTTCCTATACAGAAAAAAGATATTCAAATACAGATACATTAGGATACATTGTGAAACAAAACAGATACATTGTGAAACAAAAAATTAAAAAACTGAAAACAACTATGACAAACCGAGTAGTATTTAATTGGATATAAACCCAAAACGATAATATTGGAAAAAGATCGAATTTGCATAAACTGCAATGATATAAACAAACTTTTATATGTAATAAATGAAAAGTGAAATCAAGTTTAAAGAAAGAAAAATTTACTAACATTTTCTGATAGTTAGTCAATTGAAAAAACTTACAAAATTTTTCAGTTTAAGAATATCTTGTTAAAAAAGCCCAAAAGTTGAGAAAAAAGGGATACTAAGTAACCCTGAGGTTTTGTCTCAGGGCATTTTTTGAAAAGTAATATTAAGCAAAAAGCCATTAAAGTTTATGAGTCTGAAGAATTCACAAGACAATTTTCAAGAAAAAAAAACTCTTTTAGTGCATATAAATAATGTAAAAGTTTATAAACAAAAACAATGAGTATTAGTTCTTAAAACAACTTCAAACAAAGTTTAAGAAATTGAATTTAGCAAGTTCTATGAACTAAGATAGTGATGCAGTAAAAGTTTGTGTTTGTAATAGTACAGTCATGACGCAGTGGTTAGAGTTCTGGCTCAGAACCAAGAGGTCAGAGGTTCAAGGCCAGCTCTACCCCCAATAAGTGACAATTTTAAGGAAGGAGGCATTAGCTTCCTTGTCAAATCTGTGATAAGACTGTAAAGGACTTCTGGGAGCACCTTAATAACTACAAATATATATATATATATATATATATATATACATATATATATATATATATATATATATATATATATATATATATATATATATATATATATATATATATATATATATATATATATATATATATATATATATATATATATATATATAGATAGATAGATAGATAGATAGATAGATAGATAGATACTCAAAACTGTATGTTTTTCTGTATGTACAAGACTTGGAAAAAATTTGTTTGAAAAAATAATTTTGTTTTTAATGATCACCTACAAACAACAGGGTGTCAACTAACTGAAATGTACTTGTCACAGTCCAAAGAATTTATTGAAACTCTAAGTCAAACTTTATATAATCTTTATTGCCACCACAAAAGATGTTTAAAATAATGTTTAAAGACAAACATTGCATCCTTACATTTGTTTTACTGGCAAAGCTGATCAAGCTACATTACATCCACTTGCTATTTGTTACAAAGTTGAAAAAAATCAAATCAAATATGAATGATATTGAAGAAAATATCTTAGTCTTGATCAAATAAAAGTTCATTGTTTTTTCACAAAGTTGCTATTAGTTCATAAAAACAATTTTTTCAAATTTTCAAAGTGAAATTATATCAAAGTTTTAAATATAATAATCATTTCATTTAGAACTATTTATGATTTTGTTGCATAAGAAAAATTTTTAGAGGCTTGTTAACTGTTTATTTGCTCTTTAACTTTGTTTTTTAGTAACTCATAACTTAACAGTGGTTGCTTTCAACCTTGTTGGAAATGAATTAGTTTTAAAATTTATATATATGCAAGTATTTAATAAATTTATGCATAATTTATAGTATATAAAGTATTATAAATTTTATTCTTACCCCTGCTATTAACTACTGCTAAATCTTACAATTTTGCAAAACTGAAACCCTAATTACTTACAAATGATTGGAGTTTCACAAAACTGTTTTCGCACATTGTCAAGCTTTACAAACTTAAAAATGTTGAGCCGTTAATGAATGATAATCTGTGCATTTAAATAAACGCTTGCAACTTTTAAATAAGTACCTGCAACTTTTAAATAAGTACCTGCAACTTTTAAATAAGTACCTGCAACTTTTAAATAAGTGCCTTTAATTTTGAAGATGTTTTTAGTTTCTTTGTTGTACTGCTTCTTTGTTGCAGAGTCTTATTTGGATAAGTTGGATTTTACTGTAAAAATTGCCTTTGATTTTATTTACTGTTTTATTTTACTTTTTCACTACTCTTTTAAAATTATAATTTTGTTATAGATATATGCTTGGAGCTGCTGCATTTCCTTCATTTGTACTTTTTGTTGGTTTTTTTTGGATGCCAGAAAGTCCACGCTGGCTTCTTAATGAAGGTATTTTTATGTTGTTGTTTTTCAAAGATGAAAATGATAAAAATAAAATTTTAAATTTGAATAATCTGAATTATGTTTACTATTTAATTTCATAGTTTTATACAGCAATTTTTTTATTTATTTATTCTTTTTTTTTTCTTTTGGATTTTAAACAAGTGTTTAGGTCATTAATATGGTAGTCAATCATGTTACTTGCGCTTACATCTTTTATTATACGCTTCAAATGTTTATATACCAATTTTAATTGTTACAAGTTTACATACAAATATATAACATTATTAAACATCATTTGAAAAAAATAAAAAGTTTTAGTTGAAATTCAAATAAGGTCTGCAGATATTGTTTTTATTACAGAAATAAAGTAGAATGGTATTTCAGCAACAATCATATGTAGGTATAAATCTTACAGAAGGCAACGGTATGTATACCTTTATCTTACAGATTGCAACGGTACCATAGGTAGTTTAGTCTGAAAAAATATGTTAATGACAAAATGAAGTTGTATGAAATAATTAAGGAAGTTTTTAATAAAAAAGTATAAATGAACGTTAATGCAAAAGAATGGAGTTCAATTAAAATCAGCTATAAATACATCTTATAAGCCAAATTCATTTCAGGGGCCTGGTTTCAAAATTAATTCAAGGTAGGGAAAAAAGTGAAAATGGCAACTATATTAGTAAAAAAACCCAACTAAACAATACTGTCATTGCACTTATTAGTTCCTAATTCATCAACATAAATAATTATAAAAGATAGAAAAGGAGTCTTATGTGGTACTTTCGAGGAATTGCAAATCAAAATTATTCAATAACAATATTCAGTAGCCTACTAGGCTACTGAATATTATTATTGAATAATTTTGTTATTGAATAGCAAACATGTATTTTCAATGCAGTCTCACTTAAAATACTTAAAATTTTAGCTGAACAGTCATCAAACAACATGTTTTACAATAAGAAAATTAGTGAAGATATAGTTTACAACTTTTGTGACCATAAAAAGAAAGGGAACTGCAGACTTCATGAAGAAGCATAATAAATGCTACAATGTATCAAAATATATTAGTTACCTGGTTATATGTTATATGCATTAAATCTGTGAGTAAAAAATTATATAGTGACTACTTGAGATCAATTATTTTACTTTTTGATTGATTTAATCCAGCAATAGAACATTGCTGTTGTCCTGTTAGTTCTACAGGTTGTGTACTGGGTTGCTTACTTTCAATTTTGTGTTTTTAAACACAATGATAAGACACTAGTTACAATAAAAACTATAAAAGAAAAGATTTAGGCTCCATCTTGAACAGAACAGTTACAAATGTAACCATTTTTTAAGATAAACTGAGTCCTAAAAAAGTAAAATAAAAAAGATGACATAATTGCTATATCAGCAGATCCTGAACTAAACTAATTTTAAAGGGATGTATCCCTTTTATTTAAATTAATTTATTTAATTCATATCATTAATTGTTTAGTAATTGAAATAACACTTTTAAAAAATGACTGTTTAGTTGTAATGTGTTTAATTTGTATTGATGAAATTGAAATTTGAACGCAAATCATCTGTTTGTCAACATTTACATTACAGATACTCACAAAGAAATGCCTTTGTTTTATCAGATTATGTTTGTTTTAATACCCTATTATTTGAACCAAATATAATTCACATAGGTAACAATAAAATTGAAAACATTCATTTCTATATCAATAAATTCACAGATGATTCAAATGATAATAATACTTTGAGAAAAAATAACACTTTTAAAAATAATACCAAAAGTGTCACTAATATCATCCCTAATCATACTGAAAATACCACTATATGAAGCACTTATGATGGTTTAAAAGGCATAGCATATTTGTCATTAGTAGATAGCTTTTTATAATGGTATTGTAAATATTGACCTTAATAACGTCATGGTACCAAAATGATGTGATATTTTAATTAATATCTAATTACATAAGCATAGAACAAAATACAAAAAAATGGCATGATCACAGAAAACATAAATTACAGCTGCTTGACTAATCTAATTTATTTGATTTTTTTAGGAAGCATTTTATATTAAATTAGAATGTTTTTAAAAAAAGAACATATGCACCAGGCCTGGGCAATTTAGAAAATATTCAAAAAAGTAAAATATTTGAAAACTTTTCTTTAAAGCAAAAGTTGAAAAATGCCTATACTTTATTAGCCTAATCAACAATAAATATGGTTTTAGCCCTGATAAATTAGGTCCATTAGAAATTTTAGACTAGAAAACTCAAAAATGTGTTGATTATGTTGGGCCATGAGCAACAAGTAGAAAATTTTCCTCAATGTTATGTTTAATGCCAGCTACAGATTGAGTGTACAAATGCAAAACTTTACGTTTTTTAATTATACTTGCTAAAGACCAATACATCAAACATTTTTAAATTAAACAAAATAATACCTTATTAGTAACTTTTGAAGAAACATTAAATTCAATATATGGTTGTAAGACAATAAAAAATTTAAATTATCTTGAAATCATGTTTTACAATCTTATTTTGATATGTTAAAAGTCAAATTTTATACTTTATTATGTTAAGACCATTAATAAAGTTTATAAAAACTATAAGTTTGCTCCCATTATAATTTTTTCAAGATAAAATTATTTTTAACATTTTATTTTAACATTTTAAAAAGTTTTCTTTTGAACTTCTATATATATAGGGTTCCTTTTATAATTTTTATAACTATAATTTTCTCTTTGAATTGTGTTTTTGTTTCAGTATATCTCTTATTTTTCAGTATATCTCTTTGTTTTTAAAATTAATTCAAGTTTATTTTTAGTTTTTTTCACATCTTTTTTCTTATTGTTAAACTGGAATAATAATGTCTGGTAAATTGTTTGTGTTTTATCCCTCTTTTTATAAACTTGTTTTAAGCAACTCCATACAGTTTTTTTTTACACTTTCTGATCTTGGCAAATAATATTATTTGAGTAGACCGTTTGAATCCTTTGGTTCAATATTATTGTAAAGCATAAAGCAGAGGCACAATACAATTAAAGTGTTTTTTGAACACTTTCTGATCTTGGTAAATGATAGTATTTGAGTAGACCATTCGAATCTTTTGGTTTAAAATTAGCAGAAGCATAATACAATTAAAGCATTTTAAAAATCTGGCCAGAAAAAGTATAAGTTTTAAGATGTAAAATATTTGTTTATTTTTTATCAAACTGAGATGCTACTATTTTTATTTTTTTCCCTTCATTGCAAACATAAGTGTGCGGACCAAGTCAAATGAATTTGACTGTGGTTGCATTTATAAACTAGATAATAATGATTTGATAAACAGTTTCAATATAATCAATTCTATTAACAAGTTATAAATAAATAGTTCAAAAGCTAATATTTTTTTAGACTAGTTTAAAATTTATTAAAAATTATTTTGAAGTTTTTGTTTTTACTAATTTATTTTATAGGTTTTGCTGAAAAGGCTCGCAAGGTTTTAATCAGACTGCGTGGAACTAATAATGTTGACGAAGAATTCAATCAATTAGCTGAAATGTTGCAAGCAACACAGAAAAAAAGTTAGCAATTTTTTGATAATAAAAAAGTTAATTAAAAAAAAACTTTTATTGAAGTTTATTTTAAGCAGGGAAAAATGTCAAATTTTCTCACCTTGGTAAAGATTGCAGTCAATTAAAATTATATTTTTAACTGATTTTTTCCCAACTTATTGTAGAAAAATAGATCTATGCAATAAGCTGACAGTTTTTGCTACAATTATTCTGTCAGGCGGAAGGCCTGTTAAACTTTAGCAATCATTTTAAGCAAATAAATGTTAAACGTCTTCTTAAAGGGATCCCTAAGTGCTATAAAGATATGATCTCATATAAAAGAGCATTAAAAAAAAAATGTTTGATTTATAGTATTTTTTCTAAAACGTAATAATGAACGCACACTAACAAATTTAATTTTCAAAAAAACGCTTTTCTTCGAATAAAAAAAATGCGCCTTGTCCAAAGTTTATTGACTCTACTGCCTCAAAAAACTAACGTTTGTACGTCAAAATAAACAAAGTAGACAAAATGTCATTATTGCAAACTTGGTAAAAGTGAAGTTGTTTTTTTTTCAACTAACACATAATTACTTACAAGAATAAGTTTTGCAGCATTTTGTGAAAATATATTTGTATATTAAATTTTTTTTTATAATTTTAGTTTATATATTTGTGTTATAAGGGCAATTCCACGGCTAAAAATGAATAGAAGTCAAGTTTTAAACTCTTTTTAGTCAGTTTTTAACAAATGAATATTGATTTAGACACATGAAAGTTTATTTAAATATTTCCTTAGTAGAAAAATAAATTTATTTCAGTCATTTTTATGGTTTCAAAAGTGACAGTTACTCTCATTTTTGCTTGATAAAAAAAATAATTATTGTAAAATGTTTTAGTTAAATTAACATTTATGTTAAATTGCTATATTTTTTTGGTTCAAATTAATAAGGTTGAATAGACATTTTATTAGAAATTAAACTAAGACAGGGCTCGAATTAACGCAAAAAAATCTAATTGCGAAAAAAAAAATTCTTTTTTTTTTGCTCTCTCTCTCCCCCCCCCCCCTCTCTCTCTCTCTCTCTTATAGCTCGCGCCGATGTGCGGTAATGGGGGGGGGGGAAAAATTATCGTCAATAAATCAAAAAACATTGTCAAAAACTTAATAAAAAATTAGATACCACATTTTTTATAATTTATTGTTTCTTGAATAAAGGACTAATAAAAGTTTAAATATAATTAAGTTTTTTATTTAAATGATTGATGTTTTTATTCAATTTTTCTATTTCAAGTTTTCCAACAAAAGATGAAACAAAAAAATTTGGTTAAATAAATCGAATTATACTTCATGTTTAAAATAAGGCTTGAAAACGTTAAAGTAAAAAAATTGCTGGTTTTTATTAGCATTTTTATACTGTTTGAAAAAAAAAACTAATAAAAAAGAATTAACTAATAATATATTAATTAATAATTATTAGAATTAATAATAATAACAATTAATTCTTTTTTATTAGTTTTTTTTTTCAAACAGTATAAAAATGCAAGTAAAAGTCAGTAATTTTTTTGCTCTAACGTTTTTAAGCCTTATTTTAAACATGAAGTTTTGATAAACAAAGGTAAAAACCAACTTTTCAACTTTTCAACTTTTCGCCTAATAAAAATTTTCCACGCAGATTTAAATTAATTCAAATTCAAAAATGTTTAATGTTGAAAGAAAATCTCTGCGCGAAAGAGCAAATCATCTATTCATCTATGTATTCAGAATAATAAATTTTGTGTGACGTTCTTTATGATAAAAACATTACTTTTAAGAATTGCTAAAAAAAATGCTAAGCTAGAAAAAAAGTAATTAAACAACCAAAAAAAAACAAATCGCGAAAAGATTTTTTTTAAGAAAAAACTAATCACAAAAGAAAAAACTAATCACAAAAGCAATCGCGATACGCTTAATTCGAACCCTATAAGACTTTTTTATAAGTTCTAAACTATTTAAAACTATTACTTAATAACTGTTTTTGCAAAACTAATTAAAAAAACTTGATTAAAACTTAACTATTTAATCACAACTTTTTTTTACTTCAAAATCGAAGTAGATATTTTAAAGTTGTTGTGACGTACTAACGTGATTTTTAACAATCGAGTTTCAATGGTGAAAAAATAAAATCAAAATGGAGTTGTTTTTCAGTGATTTCAGCAATTGTTTTTTGTTAGCATGCATTTATTATTACAATTTAGTGAAAAAGAAAAAAAACTTACATATTTTTTTTTATGCTCTTTCATATGAGATCATATGTTAGGAGCACTTAGGGATCCCTTTAAATTTCTATAGTTTAAAAATATAAAAATTTAAAAAAATAAAAAAAAGTTAAAAATTAAAAAGACCCGTCTATTTTTTACCTGTCTGGTTTTAAAAAAAATTCTGTTGATTGCATATGTCTTTATAAGAGGAATACTTCCTGAAATTTTCATATAAATTATCAGTCAAGTGGTTTTTAAGCTACGTCTGTCGGGAGATTAATAAACACGCATTCTTAGAAAAAATGACAAATAAGTTGTATAAAATAACATTTTATAGTAGTATTTTTTGTATAATATATCATCAAATAGTTATCTAAACAAAGAACTAGGCTATTGGAGCAAATAAGCAACTAAATATGTTCATTATAATTTTTGTCAGCTCTGTGAGAATGGTTACAAAATATCCAATTTTCACAAAAACTGTTCTAAAAAGTTTCTTAAAGCTATTGTTATATAGCACTCTCATCATATTTTCTAAAAATTTTACTGGGTAAATATATAATTTATTTTGAAAAAAAAGTTTGTAAAAGTAAATGTTTAAAATTATAAATTTGTTGTGTGAAATATTGCTAAATGTCTCAACAAGATAATTAAAATCTTAATTTTATTTTTGTATCTAAGTGACTGGAGCTCTATAAGGCCACTTTTGTTAGCATTATTCATTATTGCATCATTTAAACTATATAGATGTCATCAAAATTTTAAAAGGAGAATGAAGTTAAAGGTAATTTTTTGTGATAATAACCTGGTTCCTAATGTTTTTAAATCAAAGAAGACAAAATTCTAATCTAAATGGTATCCATCATCCAATAACAAAGCCATTTTACCCATTTTTTCGAAACTGTTTATAATGACACATCAACACTACTAGACAACAGATACATAATAGCAGAACCAAAATTTTAACACTGTTTTTAGATTCATATAACTTACGTTATATGTTAATAGTTGGCATATAATTGTTATATAAGTACCCTAAAATTATTTGAACTCAACAAATCAATAATGAAAGTTACAAGAATGTCCATATATATATATATATATATATATATATATATATATATATATATATATATATATATATATATATATATATATATATATATATATATATATATATATATATATATATATACATATATATATATATAAATATATTTATACATATATATATCCTTATATTGTATTCGAAAGAGACTTTTAATGTAAAAAAAGTCTCTTTCAAATACAATTTTGCTACCTCGACAATTAAGCTACATTTTATTGTCGTCAAAATGTCAAAGCAATTAAATTAATGCTTTAGTACATTAAATTTTGTCACTTTTTTTATGTTGTTTAATTTTTTTATGTTGTTTAAATTTTTTATGTTGTTTAAATTAATATTTCTTATGTTTACACCATATAATTTCATGTTTCCATTTAAATAATTTTTTTTTTTTTAATTTGCATTCAACTTTCTTTGCTTTTTTATTCAGATGGAAGTATAAAAGATATACTAAGACTAAAACATACGCGAAGAGCTCTAGCAATAGGATGCGCTTTGCAAGCATTTCAACAGCTTTGTGGAATAAATACTGTCATGTAAACAACAACTTAGTGTTTCATTTTTTATACATGTAGTTAGCTACAGTTTATACTTATTTTCAATTATCTTCAGGTACTACAGCGCTACTATCATTGAATTGGCTGGTGTAGAAGATGAACACACAATAATATGGTTAGCAGCTGTAGTCGCTGCTGGAAATTTTGTATTTACAATTTTGAGCATTATGCTTATTGAACATGTTGGGCGACGAAAGTTAACACTAGTTAGTATATTTGGTGTATCTGCTGCACTTCTTTTGCTTGCTTTCATGTTTTGGAAACTGGAACATGAATCATGGAAGATAACTTACATGGTTCAACCACTTGATGAAATATGCAGTACTCAAAAAACATGCCAATCTTGTTTAAATGATGAAAAGTGTGGTTTTTGTTACATTGCTGATGGGAATCAAGTTTTGCATGCTTCATGTTTACCATTTGGAAATAATAAAGGCGTTTCACCACTCTGCGATCAAAAATACTATTCTAATGTTACTTCTAGTGTCCCTAAGTGGAGTGGCATTTGTCCAACGGCATATCCGTGGTTTCCAGTACTAGCTATGACATTTTACTTAGCTATGTTTGCACCAGGCATGGGTAAGAAGTAATCAAATTTACTTATATGTTATGCGTTAATGCAACTTAACAGTGACAAACCTATAGTTTATTTTGGAAACCATTTTTTCCCAGTAATATGTGTGTGTTGGGAGGGAGGAGGATATTTTTGTGGTAGCTTTTTCCTTAACATTTAAGGATAGGCAAAGTGATGTTTAAAATCCATTTTTGCAGCTTTAACATTTTAACACCTCAGTTAAAGCTGCAAAAATGGTTTTTAAATATCACTTTGCTTGTGTTCACCTTGTTTAGTTTAGTTATCCTTAAAAACGTAGTCGTAAATAAGTATTATTTAAAATTGCGTCTCATAATAAAAAGCATTTCTTTAATGTGTATATATAAACATATATGTATGTATGAATATATGTATGTGTATACATATATATATATTTATATATATATATATATATATATATATATATATATATATATATATATATATATATATATATATATATATATATATATACATATATACATACATACATACATACATACATACATACATACATACATACATACATACATACATACATACATACATACATACATGCACACATGCAAACATTCATTCGTATTAAAATAATCCGTTAAAGAAAAAATACATAAAATCTGTTTGTATTTAGGTTCTATGCCTTGGTGTATTAATGCAGAGATTTATCCAATATGGGCACGTAGCACTGGAAATTCAATATCTACTGCTACAAATTGGGTTTTGAATTTGCTAGTATCGCTAACTTTTTTAAATCTTATGGACTGGTTGACTAGATTTGGTGCTTTTTTATTTTATTCCTCTGTAGCATTTGTTGGATTTTGGGTATTTTATTTATTTTTACCGGAGACAAAGAGCAGAAACTTAGAAGATATCGATAGTTTGTTTAAAGGATCGTTGTTTATTCCATGCAAAAAGAAAATTTAAAGTTTTAAGATTTTCGATCTTTACTATTTATTTTTTTTACACATTTATAAATTATTATATATTGAGATATTTGTAAAAATTATATTTTTTTAAAACGGCTATTTATTTGGCTCTACATAATTTTAAGGGATATAACTCTTCAAAAATTTCAAAATTGAAAGTATTCAAGACTGTTTATTATGTGATGATTACGAAAACCAAAGTTATCATCACAATTTTTCTTTTTTATATTAAGTAAAAATGTTGTTTTAAATTATAGTATTCCTGAAGAAAATCAATAAGGTGATCAAGTCAATTCAAATGGATTTCTTTAATTCGAAGCGTTTTGAGGAGCCTAACTTGTTTTCATACGTCAAGCGATAAATAGCAAAAAAAACCAAAGCACAAAAAAGAGTGTAAACTTAAAATATTCCAAAATTAAAAAAGTTACGGCCCTTCTAAGTGAGCCAGAATCATTAACGCAAAAATTATGATGTGAAACTCACAACTACAATCCTGGACTTCCTTTTTAAGGTCATTTAAGTATATGGAATGTATATAAAGGTGTAATGCCAAAATTAAAAAACTAATAATTTAAGTGTAAAAATATTTTTTTAAACGTGTTGAATCAAAAATTGAAAACCAAAGAAATTACATTGTGGGTCTAATTATATAGCAGGCTGTCAAGTATATTTTTTTAATTTTGTTTTTTTACGGTTGTTTGATGAAATAACTTAATTGATGTATTTTTAATTGTAAAAAATTCAACAAAAAATGAAAAAATACGAAAACATACTGAACATTAAAAATAAAATTTAATTTTCCCTTAAAAAACAACTAAATGTAGAAATCAAATCATTTTTTCTATTTTAAAATTGATATTAACATCAACATTAGTTTCTTCAATTTGTTTGAAAATGGCGTTTACTTACTGACCTTATTGGTTTACTAGGTTTTTGACTTAATTGGTTTACGTAGTTTTTGGTCTTATTGTCTATTTGGTTTCTGATTTTATCGTTTTACTGCTAATTGATTTACTTGGTTTCTGAACTTAAGGGTTTGGTTAGAATATGACTTTCAATAATATTTGTTTTACGTAAGACTTGTTTTTTGCGTAAAACTCGTTTTTTGCAGACTTACTGAAATACACGTCGGCCTTAGATTATAACACGTCGGCCTTAGACAATTTAAATGACACTTTATAAATATAAATCTTAAGAATACATGTGTTATTACAATTTTTATAAATACAATGAAAACTAAAATTAATAAAAATGAACAATTATATGGAACAATATTTAATAATAGTCAATGGATATCATCAATTAGTAAAGTATGGGGGGGGGGGGGGGGAAGGGATCAATTTTAAAATACGCACGCTCTAACTTAAAAAATATTTCTTAGTTTATACAATTCTTTTCTAAATTAAAAACTTTTTAACTCATAAAAAGAAGGTAGCGAGGTAGGGATATTTCAAAAACGTTCGAAATTATAATTAGGGAAGAGAAGACTTTAAAATACGCATGGCAACATGGAGGTAGGAAAAAGGGTTCAAATTTTTAAATTTTTGGCGTACGTATTATATATGACCCCTCAGAAAAGAAAATTGAAAAATAAACTATAAAAATCTTGTGTAACTTGTATGTAATGCATACAGATTACATTGTATATAGATTGTAAAACATTCATATGCATTGTATATATGTGAATGAAAAAATAGAATGAATGAAAGAAGTCAATAAAAATTAAAAGAAGCGGAAATGAATAAATGATAAGATAAAGTCATATATGAAAGTTTTTATTTTTTTTGATTTCCGTACTATTTTAAAGAAAGATCATAAAGAATATAAAGTAAATGAAACATAGAAATGTTCACACAAAAGTTTTTTTAAACTAACTTTTCCTTATATCGCTAAACATATTTGAAAAATTATATACTAATAATATATAATTTATTTTTATAATTTATCTACGTTTTTAGTGAAACTCTTAATAACAACAACAACAAAAAATGAGTTCTTAAACAACTTCGGCGGATATTAAAAAATAGATTGCTATAAATTCATTTAACAACTAAAATACTTTTCTATTTTGCTAAACATTGCTGACTCAAAAACGGATCTGATTTTACGTATTAATGATTTCTTTAAAAGTTATTAAATTTAACTTTACTTGTTAACTCACAGTTTTAAAGTAACATTTAATTTATTGTTAGTTTTAAAAAAATCACACAAACAGTTTACAAGATATTCGGGCATCCAACCCATTTGCCACGGTTAAATTAGTCTAGCAACGGCTCTGATGCCAACCCTGCTACATCATTACTATGGAATTATGGAATGCAACTTAAGATTTATACAACATTAATGGAGAGAAAATGGATTTTGGTATCGAAGAATGCGTAAGCCCTGAGGATTATACAGGAGTTGGCTACACAAAATACTTTCCATGATGAATTGGCATGCGAGGAAAGTATAACTATATGGGTAGAGAGGATAAATGTAATGCTGATACAGGATTTTGTCAAATATGTGCTGGAAATTTTTTCGGTAAATTTTTTATTTTTAATTCTTATATACAATTTTATATTAATTTGAGGAAAAAGTATAGTGATGGGGTATTTTTTTTTTTTTTTTTTTAGATTTATTTCGCCGTTTAAAAATAGTTATAATAACCAGATAATATAGTTACAATAATATGTATATATGTATAACTACAATAACCATAAGAGAATATATATTTACATTTACATTTGGCAGCAACAACGGCAGGACTTTTAGAAGATCATGAGAATCTTATTATGAATCCCTTAATAAATATAATATATTTACACTTTTTCAATATAATTTTAATTAGAAATAAACTGTTCGTAATGAAATAATAATAATACATCTTTTTATAAAATACTTAGTAACTGTTAGTCTTAATTAAATAGTTAAGAATAGATGAGAATATTTTCTAATAAAAAGAATAACCTTTTTGAGTTTCTGTTTAAATGAAGCATAAGTCATTTTAATAGAAAAATCAAAATTTGGTAAATCTTTTTTGTTCCAGAGATAAGGTCCTCAATAAGAAATAAAAAACTGGTCTTTTTTTGCTGGCAAAAGGGGGCATCTAATAATCTTCGCACTAATAAGATTGTTATTAGTGCGAAGATTATACTTGTTTTTGGGTTTCAAATTATAAACTTTTTTAGATACAGTTGGTGACATATTTTCTCTACATTTAAACATTAAGCACAATATAATATTAAAAACATTTAGTTGGTACACATTCAAAATATTCATTACTTTAAAAGGTGGTTTTGTGTGAGAAAACCGATTTTTAAAATTTATTACGCTAACTGCGTGTTTCTGACGAAGGTAGGGTAAGTTGGCGAATTTTGGGCAGTTTGCTGAACATTTGCCATAAACGTTATAGAATATAACCAAACGGCCACCAAAAATATAATGAGCTCAATTTAGGCAGCCAACTGTTTTTTCTACAAAATAGTAATAATTTAGGCAATTATTAAATACTATGTTTTATTTATTTTTTTGTTTTCGCTATGAATTTTTTTTTTTTCGATGATTTGCACAATTTTGTGCAAGTTGACAAAGTAAGATTTAATTTCGTGAGCTTTTTTTTATAATTTAAATTTAGTTGATTTATTCAAGATGCAATACTTAATTCATATATAGTTTTTTGCAAATATTTTGCTATTGATTAAATGTCTGACTTAGAGTTGGATTATTTTTTTTAGAACATAACGTGGGGCCCGCGGCTATTTATTTGACCTAGTGATCAAGCCTGTTTATAGGCTCGATCACTGGGCTATAATAATAAATGTTTTTACAGGTCCTTAAAGACCCTCTTAACTTTTAGGACCTGTAAAAACAAGTGTTGATATTAAAAAACTTTATAATGTTATATAAGCTACACCAAAAACCGTTTGGGTGGCTCGATCACTGGGCTATAATAATAAATGTTTTTACAGGTCCTAAAAGCTAAAAGACCCTCTTAACTTATAGGACCTGTAAAAACAAGTGTTGATATTAAAAAACTTTATAATGTTATATAAGCTACACCAAAAACCGTTTGGATGGGCCCCAAACATTATTTGTCGAATATTATTCTGAAATGGCACTGAAAATATATATCTTTCGTTAATGCTTGAAAAAAAGCTAAAAAATACTTAAAAATTTTTATAAAGCAATTAAATAAAAAACATTTAAGAATTGAACTTAGTCAGATGGATTTACATGGTCTAAATTGAAGAACATAGATGGATTTACATGGTCTAAATTGTAACGAGGCTGTACTCCTGGAAATATAACTAATAGAGTAGCAATTATTTACTTGTAGATCCAAAACTTGCTTGGCAGATTATTGACAAACTTTCTATGAGTTATCATATCGTTTTTTTCTTTATCGTTAAGTCGATGCTTTGTTATATATTGCTTTTTGCAGAATTGCTCATGCAGAATTACATCTGCGTAAGTAAGTAAATAAATATTTTAATCAACACTAACCGATCTTTTTCATCGCGGAACCATATCTGCCATTTATTCTATCACCAATTGTTTGAGAAAGTACATTATATTTAAAACTTCAAGTTTATCAGTTTGACAATCATTTTTCATGGAAAAAGGAAAGTTTAGCTTGTCACGATAACAAACTTGATTAAAAAATTATAACTTGTATATTCTTTTATGATGATGCTATATTTTTAACATTTTGAAATTTGAATTTAAATATTGCTTAGTTAATAGAAATCCAGCCATGCGGATAATTTTGCAGCTGTTGCTTTAATTTTTTTGTTTTGTCTTAAAAACGTCACAAGCAACCTTAAGAATATTTTTAAAGATAGTTAAAACCATATAAGCATTCAAAATCATTGTTAGGTAAAAATAAAATAATGCACGAAATTTAATTCTGTGAAAATTAAATTTCGGGCATAATGCACAAAATATGATGCTTTCAATAATTCATGCAGAAATTTTTTACATCAAAAAAGTATTTGTTTATTATTTTTATTTTTACTTTTCCAAACATATTTGTTAAACTTGGGTGAACGATTAGTACTTCTTTCAAAGAAATGTCGTGCTTCATTTTTGTATAGTTAAGTGTAAAAGTTAAGTGTAAAAAGATTTACGTTTTTTCACTTTACATGAAAAACCGATGTATCGTAACTTATTATAGCTTTTTTAATACAAATATTTGGACTACCGACATGGGGTTAGCAGTAACTTGATGCGGAAAGGTTGTACTAACTGAAACGTGAAACAACACTTTGATTAAATTAGCGTCAGTGTGATTTTTTTGATCCAAAAGCCTGTTTGCACGAAATTCGATGCTGCCCGAAATTCGCCAACTTACCCTATAGAAATTTAAGCTTTGTCTTATGGGTGCTTCCTCATATACAAATTTGCATAGTTTATTTGACAATGAATAAATGAATAATACAATTGTGTTAACTGATATTTACTTAATATATTTCTTGCTTTATAAAAAATTCCGATGCATTTTGCAATTTTTGTGGAAGTAGTATCGATATGATACCTCCAGGAAAAATTTTCATCATTATGTATTCCAAGAAACTTTGTAACCTTTTCCCATTTTGAAGTAATATTATTGATTAAAAGGTCTGGCATGATATGTGGAAGTTTCTGTTTTTTAGAAGGCGGATAAAAGTGATGGATTATAGTGATGTAGATGTAGAAGGTATAGTGATGTAGAGGGTATAGTGATGGGTTAGCAGAAAAATAATAAAATTTAAATGATACTTTTGATTCTAATTTAATCAAAAAGTTTTGAACTTTTGATGACCCTGTTTTAAAGCCCAAATTCATTTCAGATGCTTAGCGATAGTATGAAAACAACATTGAGAAAATTTAGCGAGTTCTTGAAATTGTACCTAATGATCTACAAGGAAAAATGTTTTATTAATCTTTGTTATTTACAAAAATAAAGATAAACAAACACGAGGTCATTTTTCAATGTCAAAAAATATTGACATTAGGCTTAAAAAAGGAAAATAAAACTTCATTGTCTACGATGCCATAACAACAATTTGAGAGGTTTAGCCAGTATCGGATTTTCCCCTAGAAAAAGTCGATGAAAAAAGTTGTGTAATATTTTATAACATCTAACAAATGATCTCCAAAAATGTCGTTGACAACGTAATTATAACGGTTCAAAAATGTACTGAAAAAAATGGTGTTAATGACCACTTTAGAAAGGTGTTTTTATTTTTCCAATGTGGAGCCTATTCATTAAACTTTGTGGATTTAATCCAGAAAAAAAAAACCCTGATGTAATAAACTTTTTTGGAAATATAAAAACTTTAACTGTATGTTCTCTCATAGTCCTACTCGATGGAAAATGCTAAAAAAAACACATACCATTATCTCTTCAAATTCTTTCAGAAACAAACAGTGAAACAAATCAAGTCATTTAAACAAATGTCAAGAATTATCTTGGTGTACTCTCTGTGTTTTATCTTGGTTTTACTCTTCAGGGAACTTACATCTTTTATTAGATTAAAAAAATACTTCAATTTTTACTATGAAAAAAGAACATTGTTAGATGATATAAAGTAAAAAGATACCATTTTATTTTGAAACAACCCTTATCCAAAATTTAGTAAAAGAGATGAGTCACATACGTAATTAGTGTGAAAGTTTTGTTCATGAGACAAAATTGTGGTAGAAATTGTTGAAACACAAGTTCAATATCATACAAAAAGAAATTCTTCTACTAAACAAGATCAAGATTTAAAAACTTCTGTAGTTTACCCAGTGTTGGATTTTATAATAAAAGAAATGAGAACACGATTTGAAACAGCCAAATTCTTTGGCTGTTTCAAATGATTCTTAATACCGCTTCGCGCCAAAAAACACGCAAGCTTTTAAATCTGATTTGTTGACTAATTCAAATTAAAAATTAGATCGATGGTAAATTGGAGATATATAAGCTTATCGCAAAAAATAAAATAATAAAAAAATTACAAAAGTATATATAACACGTATATAAAACGTAAAAAATCTGTAAAACAGAAATGCAGCCATTCGAGCACGTTTTGCAGGCATTGTATTTACTATTTAAATTTATGTTGAGGAAAGAAGCTAGTAGACGTACATATATATATAACAATAATAAGTTAGTGTATTCTATAAATAAAATAGTTTTAATTAAAAACTAATTTAAATTTCTTTTACAGTCTGCTTTGCCTTCAGCTGGCTTATTAGAAAACATCTTAATGAACCTGCTGATGGTTCATTAAGATATGTATATATATATATATATATATATATATATATATATATATATATATATATATATATATATATATATATATGTATATATATATATATATATATATATATATATATATATATATATATATATATATATATATATATATATATACTAAGAAATGATGGAAGATTAGGGCCACACGATATTAGAAAATGGTGCAGCCTATCTTTTAGCAAAAAACGGTACTTTTTTTAATATAGTGTGGCTTTAGTGACTTTTCTGTAGCCCTAAATCCGCTGTCATTTACACAGATATATTCTACTCATAAAAAAACTCTTGCTTTACATTTCTTCATCTGACCATATGGTTAATCAAATGGTATTACAGAATCATTCAAATTTATCAATGAATATGATATTGTAACAGCTTTGTCCATTGTAGTAAGGCCGTTATTTAGTTTTATCAATTACTTCAGAGGTACATTGTTCTTTTATATTTATTTTATATATATTTCAAATATTATCTATAACTCTCTCTTACTGATTTCTATATTTCTATAGATTATCTATAACTCTCTCATACTGATTTCTTAATCAGCCATAACAACATCACCAGACAACAACTTTGATAAAAAACCACAATTTTCAGTTAGATATTTATTAATAACGCAACCATGCCATGATTTAGAAATAAAACTTTACATCACCTTGAGAAGCAATACCAAAAAAAAATTTGACGGTGTTGTGGTGTTTATATGAAGCAAATGTTTGGGCACGTGCTAGTACATTTTTTAGTTTGTCTATAAATACATCAAAGCAGTCTATAACAACTCCCACTCTTCTTCCAATAAGTTCGGGTTACCCGAGGTTCAAACCGGAGAATTTTAATATTAATCAATTAGACGATTTTAAGGGACCAATAGAAACAGTTTGAGATAACATAAGTTTGAGTTAACCGGTGTTAGGGCCGGTAAGTCGAATACCAATTTTGGTAAAACGTACACAAATAAAATGTTATAATAAAAATATATTTTGAATTTTGTAATATATTTTTAGTAAATCACAAAACTTAAAATATATTTATACATTTATTTAATACAATATTATTATTTATAAAATGTTCGAAATAAGATAATATAAGAAACATTTCCTTCCTCCAACAATTTTTTTCTCCCTTAGGGCTTCAGTTATTTAACTTTATATTATTTTTTGTAATTGTTTCTAATTGTTATAATTATTGTAATTAATTATAAACTTTTTTAAAGTTATTAATATAGCAATAATAAAGTCTTTTATATTTTCATGTTAATAACATAAGAATATTATTATTTCGAAAAGTTTTAGTTTCAACCTTCCCCTAGCCCACGTCGAAACTGAGAAAAAACAATTTTAGGTTCCTTTTTCTGCAAGAAGTAGTGAGGTGTCTGCGACACATTTTTTTAAATAAAATTTAGCTGCTTAATAAAAGATAGGTATAAAAAATGGTTTTTAAAAAATTCAACAAACTGCCAATAATAATTTGATATGAAAACAATAAGGTATTTTTCAAAATCAATAAAACCATAATAAAATTTAATAAATATACAAAAAATATATAAAAAGGAAAAGATAGCTGAACTCTTCTACTTCTTCAAAAACATGAAGGCCAATAGCCATTTCTAAAAAAAATTTGTTTTTGTGTAACACAACCTTAGAAGAGACTTCAAAAAATGTGGCACAGAATTTTAGCAAAAAACTCGGTTCCGTAAATCACGATTTCTGCATACCTATTACAGAGAATTAACTATAGTAACTTTTTATGTTATCATCTTGAAAAATTATTATAAATGCATATTTACAAATTTTTATGTTAGGAACACAAAAACTTTTGAAATTTTTTTTTTTTAGTTATAAAGGTGCTCTAAGAAAACCTAACAGTCGTATCGCAGAAGTCCATTGAGGATCATATAACCAGGAAGTTTACCGTCTTTTTTATTTACCAATGTCGTTTATCGGGCTAGAGCCGACGTTGAACCTCGAATCTCTTGGTTCTGAACCAAAACTCTAACCAATGTACCATGGACGGAAGGGTAGACGGAAGTAGACGGAAGTAGACGGAAGTTTATTAGGCGTGTCCAAAAAGTACATATTGGTCCCATTTTTTAAAACAAATTTGTAATATTTAAGTAAATAAAGTTAAGAAAAAAGGTTGAAGTTTGCTCCATGTCTAAAAATTATCTTTCTCAAATATAAAGAAATATTAGTATAATATATATCGAATAATATCAATATATAACGTATCAGCTTTCAAATTGTATAACTGATAAAGATATTTGTACTTTAGTAAGATTGCATTTGGTTTTTACTATATTTGCTTTGTCTTAATTACTTATCTCAGTATACTTTTAGCTTAATTAAATTTTAAAAAACAAACTGATGAGTTGTTTATTCTTGATTTAATAGTGCAGTTGTATAAAAATATTTATTTTTTAGAATTCAGTTTTAAAATAATTTTACTTTAAATTTAATTTAGACGTAAACGCTTATCAATCGTTTATCTCGGAGATGTAAGCGTCTGTTGAGCAGATGTTTTTCTTTAAACGGTTTAAAATGGTAGTTAATAATTGTAAACAAAACATATTATAAATATATTATAAAAAAGGTAAGTATATGAGTGATGTTAGTATTCCTTCTTATTATCGTTGTTTTAATGAAATCATCTATCTATAATTTTGGAATTATTGAAACGCTTTGTGCAATTCTTTATCAATGATATACAAACAATTCAAATTTAAAATACGGTGTTATTAATTAAAGTTTAAATTTTTAATATTTAATTTTAATTTAGAGAACTTATATAATTTGAAAAATAATTGAAAATTTGTCCATAAATTAGTTGAAATAAAGGCTGTGAAGCAATAAAAAGTATTTTCAAAACTAATCAATGTTCAAAATATTTTCTAAATGTTATGGATCCTAATTTCTGTTATATAATTGCCCCCAATTTCAATGTATTGTAAAATTATAATTAGTTTTGCATACTATCTTTATATAAGATTTAAGTGTTTTTTTGCTTTTTTTGTTTCCAAATCGTTTTATAAAATAGTCCACTGGTGTACCTTGAGGCCTTGCAATTGTTGCCTTTTTTCATTTTATTCATAAGCTTAATAATTAAAATAATATTCTTTAAGTTTCAACAGCTTACTGTTTTGCTGATAACACCAACTTACTCTTATCAATGCGTTGTTAAAAAAGTATAAAAATACATAAATCATGTTCTGTTTAATATTGTTCTGACAATAATTTCTTTTTATCAAGTTGTTAATAAAAATTAACAATCTAATTCTTCTGGTTTTCAATCTTACTACTGAACTAAAATTATTTTTTTTAATCCAAACCAAAATAAAGTTTATAAAAACTTAAATTTCAGAAAAAATTAATCCTATTAAATCTGAATTTCCTTAATATAAAAATTTCCCTTGATTTCATTTGTTAAACTTGTTAATATAAAGTTAACAAATCAAATTAACAAATCTAATTCTTATGGTTTTCAGTCTGCTGTTTTTAATATTTTCATTCATTTTTTTTTGTTAGTTCTCATATTTTAAAATTCATTATTTATATTGGGATTTGGTTTTCTATTCTGTACTTTATCATAATGTTTTGGTGCTACTGTTATTATTTTTATAAATAAAATTTTACTAATGTTTTTATTGATACTATTATCATCATATATGCAGCCTGGTTGGCAGCTTTTGGCAATGTCAAATTTACTGCCGACTAGAAATGTTTGAGGTTGACAAAAAATAGTTAACCTTGTTTCTATAGTTTATGGTAAAACCTTTGTATCAAATATTTTTTGCCAATCTGATGCCGACCTCTAAAATAATAAGGTTGACAAATTATTGCCAACCTCATTTTTCCTAATTCCGAGGGCTGTATATGATAAAAATAATTTTATATATATAGCTTTGATATTTATTTATATTATTACTATTGATAATTTTATTATCACCATTATAGTAATTATCATTATCACTGCAATCATATATAACTGGTAGTGTTTTTACATTTGGTATCAATAAGCAAAATGCTTAATAATAAAAATAATAAAAATAATAATAATAATAATAATAATATACAATAATAATTATTAAATAATAAACATAATAATAATAATAATTTTAATAATAATAGCAATAAAGATATATACAAGTTATTATTAAAAAAAATAAAAAGTTGAAACTTTCAGTTCTATTTATTTTTTGTTCATACTTTTTATTTTATCTTCAAAATAGCTGTGTTTTTTTATTTACGTTCTTTTTTATTTTAATTTTTAACATTTCCTTAAGTTTTTTTGTTTTAGGATTTTGTTTTCTCCTGATTTTTTGTTTTTCTTCTAATTTTTTTTATTTTCTATTTTTGTCTTTGTTTTAGTATAATTTTTTTCATTTTGTTCATGTTTCCCCAAAATGTTTCATTATAACTTTCTCTTTTTCTAGATTTTTTAAATAATATTTCTCATTGCAAAAGTTGTAAAAATTAAAGTCCTAAATACGGTAAAAAAAGTACAAACAAAATAAAGTGTTTCTCACCATAAACACCTTTTGTTACATTAGTCAAATTCAAAGTGAACCATATAAGAAGTTTACTTTGCATTAAGATTCTGGTAAGAGTCCTTCAATTTGAATTTGGAAGAGATTTTTTACAGTACTTTTTTCAGGACAATTAAGATATTTAAATTTCTTTAAATGTTATTTTTTTAATTTGATTGTCACTTCATTTGAATAATTTTTAAAATTGTTTTGTCTGTTTTTTAATTTGTTGGTAAACTGCATCATTTTTAGACATAAAACAATGTAGTGATAATATAAAACCATGCATTATATTGGGAATTTGGCAAAAAGTGTAGCTGGTTTATATAACCAAATAAACTCAGCCACATTGACAGGTGCTATTGATATAATGGTTATAAAGCATCCTGATGGCACATATGTTGGAAGTCCTTTTCATGTTCGCTTTGGAAAGCTTGGAGTTCTACGTAGTCGTGAGAAAATAGTAAGTATACTCATTTAAACAATAAATTTCAGCAATATATATATATATATATATATATATATATATATATATATATATATATATATATATATATATATATATATATATATATATATATATATATATATATATATATATATATATATATATATATATATATTTATATGTGTGTATATATATATATATATATATATATATATATATATATATATATATATATATATATATATATATATATATATACACACACATACACACACTTTAACTCAAGGTAGATGTTATGATAAATGATGAAGAAGTAAATCTTCACATGAAGCTTGGTGAAGCGGGTGAAGCTTTTTTTGTGGAATCTGTTAAAGATAATGAATGTGTTCCTAATCAGCTTGCTACCTCTCCAATTCCTTCACCAACAATGTTTTTTCAACATTTAGAAAATAAGTATGTAAGTGCATTAAAGATTTTCCTTAGTTTTTACTTTTGATACGTGTAAGAGTATAAAAAATGTTAGTATATATAACTTCATATAGCTAAAAATACAATTGATAAAGATTGTTTGGACTAGGGTTAGGACTATTGTTATTGTTATTGTAAAAATTAAATACAATAACAATTACAATACAATAATATTGTATTGTAATACCAGAGATGCAATTAAAACATTATTTATGGTTATTGTATTGCTGTGAATAAAAACAGTTGCAATAACTATTGTATTTTTTTTTCTTCCAACAATACATTGAAGCTCTAAAACTATTGTATTGTTTTGCTGTGATGTAATACAATGACATTAACTGTTGTATTGTATTGCTGTGATGTAAAACAATTATAATAACTATTGTATTGTATTGCTGGGATAAAAAACAAAGATAAAAAACATTGATGCATTATATTACTATTTCGAAGTCTAATAGCTATTGTATTTTATAGTATTTAGACTCTTTTTTCATGCATTTATTATTATTTGGGCACTAGATAATTTAGGGGTGCCCGTGACGCTTGTTTTCAGCAGTCATTGATATATATAAATTTTATTTATTTTGAGAAGTGAAGTGAAGCCGGGGAAGCCAAAGAAGTATATATACTACGTATACTTAATAAATATTTGGTTCAGGGGCGCTTGTGGCACCCATTTCTAGCAACCATTTACATATATAATTTTTATTTATTTTGTGCTCAATAATATAACTGTTTAAATAATAATTTATTTAGAATTAGCATTAATAATATTCATTCAAAATCATACAAATATATAATTTATCATATGCTTGTAATTAAATATTTATTTACTTTAAGAAGTAAAATTTTATATTTTTTTATAATTTTGTCTAAACTGATATGGACATGTTTCACCGAATGATGACGTCTAAACTAATTGATAATTAAAAAAAAGCGCTTAATGTAGTTATTAAGCGCTTTTTTTTTCAATATATCTAACCGCTAATGTGTAATCAATTACATCGTTATGGAATCAAAAAACCATTAACCTGAGTAATTATCGATTAGATTGTCTGAAAATGTGAACTACTTTTGTTTTGTTAAAAAATTTTCATATTTTCAGATTGTTCATCACCTATCAGACCATACCAATAAATTTTGTGTGGATCATTTTTGAAAAATGAGGCAGTTTAGAACACCAAATAAATATTGGTTCTTGATTTACATAACAAAACTCTTTTATAACTTTGCAACTAGATGTCCAGTTACTTTATGAAACACATACAGCCATAAAGCCGAAGGGAAACAAAAGACAAAGTTGTATTATTATCAAAGTTGTATAGTTGAGTAAGTTTCAAAACAATTGGATAGGTGCCTAATGTAAAAGCAAATAACTTAGTGTAAGAAATGGTAGTAGTTAATCATGTCTATCCACAGCAGTAAAAGAAATACAAGCCTGATTAAACTCACTTTTATAGAGCTATATAAAGTTTATGAAATAAAAAAGTAAGAGAAACAATACTTATATATTAGTTGTACCCTATTTCAAGGTCACTTATCTCAGAGACTGGACAGTTAAAACATTTATTAAATTTTGACTCTAAAATAATTTTTT